ATGAGTGACTGTGTTTGATAATGGTCAAATCCACTTTGGTGGATCAAAGCAGAATAACCACTGGAATCTTAGAGAATAAAGCGCTGATGTACTCGGCTACTGACCTGTACTTCAGTAAGCGCATCATCGATGTGAATAAAAGGTGTTGTAGTATCAAACTCTTCCAACGCAGAAACCAACATTCGACGTGCTCTCTCAAGTGCACCACCTAAGATAAGATTATAACATTCGGCAAATGTTCACTCTGATTCTGAACCGGCAAATATGCATGAAATCGTTGGCAATAAACAATGATAAGTTAAACCTCACAGACAACAATAATGCGCACATCAGCATCGTCTACGGATTCGTTCAAAAACCTTGTGATGTGAAGTTCCATTTTAGCTCGCATTATCCAGTCAAGCTCCTTCAATATGTACACTTCAATCCGACTCATTCTCATCGAACTCGAATATCTATGTGTGATCCGAATCTATCAGAACAATTTTATGTGAGATGTACGTTCTGCTTACAGTGAATGACGGTTTTGGAAAATGCATTAAATGACACATCCGAGGTTGATTTTCTCTTCAATTCATGGTACTTCTTGCATTATGATCCCTCTTCTTCAATTTATGATCCTTTTTAGCGATTTTTTAAAATTTTTTGGATTCAGCGTCAAAACCAACAGGCTTTGAATTGAATCTATTGTATGGTAAGTTGATTGAGAGTGTAAATGATTGTCACCATTTACTTTAATACTTTCAAAGTGTCTACGAACACCGAATTTCGCGTAACCAAATTCATTTTCTTTGAATGGACACAAAATGCTCCATTCACGAAGTTTGTAACGAAATCGTCTGAAAATAAAGAATCTGAATTTTAATATCTCGTTGAATCGCATCACGGTGGCAATTGATTTCATCTATCTCATTGTCAATGTTCTAATCTTCTTCTTCTTCTTCCATTCATTATCAATGCATACTATCAATAGTCTACATTGTTTGTCCCCAACAAATTTATGACCCTCGAGTTGTATACTCAAATAACTTCTGCAATTTCGGAGAATTTAAATGTTGATTGGTTAATTAGAAAGCATGACTAATGATGATCACATGGAAGGAATAAAATTTCGTGAACGAATGAACCGTGACGATACTTTGCTGATGAGATAAGATACGACGTATGGAATAGATGAGACTGTAAGAGATCTGATAATGACAAGTGACCTTTTCTCGGTACAAAAACTGCAAAACTGATTTTGTTGCGTGCACTGCTTGCACACTCGCTGGGTGCATTGTGGGCATTGATAGGCTCGTCGAAAAATGTAAAACGTTCGTTCGCAGACTGCACAGCAATCGTGTAGCGTTGGACGCTTTGCATGTTTCGAAATAACACGTTCCTTCAATGAACACGACTACTTCGAATGGATTGATCCGTAAATTTATTACATATGCTACGAGAATAATCATCGTGACGACGATGGCTAGAATGTTGTGATTCAACTAGCACTGTCGATTTGGATCAGTATCTTGTTAGTAACAATAGATAAACTTTCTTTATTAGGACGGCACTAATTATAAGTTCTAACTGATCGTGGGGAATTGTTAATCACTTCAATTCATATGTTCAACAGTAATTGCTTCTTTAACATTACAGTTGTCACTTTCAGAAGTTTGACTCTGCTAATTGATGCTTTCAAAACTTACCAAAATTTTAATTTGTTCAAATATTTCAGCTTTCAACTTGAGATCGAGCGCTACCACACGTATCAAATGACTCAGCTGTTCATCAGTTAAGTTCTCCATATTCATTGTTCAATTCACTGCACTGTATGAATGCAATACATAATGATCATTATCAAACATTTTCACTACTATTTGATGATTTCATCGACATTCGTAAGTGTACGACAACAATCAGTATGATAGCGAAATACAGAAGCAAAAAAATCAACTGATTACTACAACGATCGATTTCGGCAATCAGTTTCGAGCATTTAATTGTCAGCGCAATTACAAAATAAACCAATAATGTTTAATTGTAATTCGTGTATGGTATGTGATGTATACGACTACAGAATCGTTCGATACGAATGGTTATAGACATAATATTTAAATTAAATGCACAGACGTGGTTATGACTAGCCAACAAGATTTTCAACACATCAGCAATTTGAAAATTTGATGAAGCGCTCCTGAACCAGTGGACAGAGCATTTGTGTTATGATGAATAGTGTCAGTGGAAGAAGACTACTTTCAACAGCTTATGACTCTACCTTGCTATTGAACAAATGAAGTCGATCAGATTGTTGTTGATTTGGCTCTTGGAAATTTGTGAAATAGTCGATTTTTCAAGGAAAACAATCAGATTTTCATCAAGAGGTTTAGCGCGACTGAGGACGATGTTGAATTTGATCAGTTGAAAAAGTGTTAGTGAGAGTGGTAAGTGGAGTAAATGATAGATAGCTACGAAATGGATTTTCATATTTGCTCAGGTGTCATCGGCTCATGTTGTTGATCATGACGGCGACCAAATAACGACACAAACGAATCTCACGAGTTTTGGAAATTTCTTGGAAATTTTCATTGATGAGTAAATTAAAAATTCAGTCGTAGTATCTAGTGAACATCTGACTGATTCGTATGGCTGATTCAATCACTGAAGTTTCACTCCTACACCAAATATCACTATGAAGCGTGAAGTGTCTCGCAAGTCAGCCAGTCGTGTAATCAGCTTACAACATTAAATGCCAAACACAAATTACTGAAGTTCATCGAAATAGTGCTCATATTCAGGCAGATGAGCACATATGCTCTGACCTGTGAATAAACACACTAGCACATAACTTTTGTGTGTTCAATAGTGTCGGTGAAATTATTTTATAAAGGTTCATCGAAACGCCGTTTCGATTTGCAACGTTTTTTTGGTTGTTTTTATCTCCCGACGAAAATACTTGGGAGCATTTTCGATGCAACCATATGATTTCAAGACTGATATCGAGATTGATGGCACGGAGCTGTGAGCAATTCTCAGAAATGTTGACTAACGCGCAAGTATTTTTATGTGACGAATCGAGAAGATAGAAACTCGGGCAAGTATTTATAGCGATCAAACAGTGTGATCATCAATATTCATCAGCTAACTTCGAGAGTCGCTGTTGTCACAAGATGAAATTCATTCACGGGCTGATTTATCAGATTCACTGCCGCGTTCAGCAGTGAATTCAATGCAGCAACAATTTCTCAGCAAATAATTGCAAGTGTTAAATAATTAGCCGAAATCAACGAAAATGCTATCAGCACATAGAGTGATAAATGTTTTGGAAAGGTGAAGAAATGTCTGATGAGTGGAATGAATAACGAAGTTGGAAATCAAACAAATATGTATGATGATGAATGGATTCGATCGAACTTTTAATGACTGTGTTATTGGAACGTCAACACCCTAATAGATGACAATATTATTATTCATTTTGTGATCGCGTTTCATGAAATATTCATGAAGTTTGAGAACGAAAAAGTGAAAATGCTAAAGAGCAACTAAATTGATCCGATGAACTACGAAACAGAAAGCTCTCATTGATTGATCAGTGAGTGTCATTGATTGACGACTGATTTTTCAGTTAATGTCAGCAAATATGGCGAACGTATATGACACACTTCTGTTTGCTTAGAAGAATGCCTTGATTGATGCTTATATGGAATGAATTCGCACGTATAACTGGCTCACTCTGAATGCGAAGGTGTTCTTCAACGATGAAGCAGCAGCTTAGGCGCTTTCTGAATAATACCAATAATAATTTTAAGTTCATCACCACGTCAGGGTTGGAGGATGTGCGTAAAAGCTGATCAAATAACAAAAATCCATTGTAGTAATCCGTCAACGCTCAAAACAACTGATGCTGTGTGTTATGTGTACGTTTGTCACATGAGTTAGCATGCAGTCTAACGTTCAATCGAGAATGTTTTACAAACGCGTGATTGCTGACAATTTTTGATCTCCTAACAAATTTATTAACCGTAACAA